AATTGAAAAACACTGTTCTCGATAATCAGAGACTGCATGCAGGTGAATGAGAAGATAGTCAGAGGAAGGACTGCACCAGAGAGGTCTGCAGGGAAGACAAGGGGCAGCTTTTCCCTTTTGGATGCATGTCATGACATCACACACACAAAAGGGGCAGAGCTTGCATTGCCACAGCGCAATGCTTCTTTCATCATTTGGACTAAAGCCCCCGACCCTGCAGATATCTCTTGACCATCCCAACCTTAAAACCAACCGGATGTCAGAAGAGAGAATATTTCCCTTGCCTAGCAGAGAAGTGCAGTGGACCATCCCTACAATCTAATAAAATAAACAAATAAGCCAGCATTTGACAATGCTGGCTTATTTGCAACCCGATTTACTCCTCCTCTCCACAACATTTTTCTAGGTGGTGCAAGCAAAAGAACTTGCCCTGCTCGATATCCTTAACTAAGGGCTTACTAAAACAAAGCTTCAGAAAGTGTCCAAAGGACTGGCTTGAGCCAAACAGTAGAAGTCTGGTGGCAGCTGGCTACTTCCCATTGAGGAGTGCCACAGCTCCGTGTGACTGGCTCTGGTGACTTCCATGAAAGGCCCTTGATTGTGAAAATGGTTGGTTCGGCTCGCTTTTTTCCCTGCGAAGAGGAGAAAGCAGCAGCGATACCTTCATTTTATGCATGAGGGAAACTGCCAGAGGCAGTTAGTTGCAAAGAGACATTCCCCCTCCCCACTGGCCCTCCATGGCCTCTTCAGAAAGAAATGCAAGACACCAAGAACTACACAAAAGCATGATGGAGGTGACAGTGCATCACAGGCAGTCGACAGAAGAGCTGTACGGGGACTCCACATTTCTGTCGAACCTGACAACACGCCAGCTGCTCTGAAGAGAGCCAAGGGAAGGGCTGGAAGAAGATTCAACATTACTTTCTGAGACTTGCTTGATGAACTGGGCCTTTCCACTCAAGCTTAAGACTGTATGACTTGGTAGCCCGAGACTTTGGCAACACAGCTCCTCTGAGATGCATAAGGAGAGTAGTCAGGATGGAGCGCCACCCAAGCTCTCTCGGCCTGGCTGTTAAGGCAATCACCAGCTGCAAAGACAAGCAGCAAATACAGGCTGCATTTTTTTTCCCTATAGGTTGCAACGCCACTTTGCAAAGTGAAGGTTCCTCCAGCCCTTTGGACATGTGCCTCAATTTAGCTCCACTGTGCTCTTGCACTCTGGTCTGGAGGAAATGTTCAGACGAGGGAGAAGATATCCAGACTTGAACTTCATGGCAGTGGTCATCCTCCTACGAGGCCTGAACGTTCTTGCCAGTTTGTTCCAAAAAACCTAACAGATTTTATTCCAGTCTTGCAAGAGCTCACTGGTTACCATTTCGTTATTTCAAAGTCTTGGTGATAGCTATAGGCCTGTGATAATTTAGGGATCACTGCATTGTATACGTGCTTGTCCACCCTTCACGCTTTGATGGTGGAATTCCTTTCTTTATGTAACAAAGCAGTGATTAGTGGGGGAGAGAAGAAAGGCCTTTCTCTGTAGTTGCATCTAAACTGTGGGATTCCCTGCCTTGGAAGACCAAGATGACAATATCTCTGTTAGCTTTCACCAACCAATTGTGACCTTTCTGTTCGGGAAGTCACCTGCTTGAGATTTCACTTCCAATTCTGTTACCCATTATATCTGCCTGGGTTTACTATATAATCCTTCTTCTTTATATTTTACTCATTTTTAAATGGTATCAGGATATATTGGATGATTAATTATAAGCACTAAAAAGGCTGAGAAACACACACACACACACACACCTTTTAGGATGGCAATGTGCATTCTGCACATTGTGCAATACGGTGCAATATTGCAATACTGCACTTCCTTCAAAATGAGAAATTCTGCATTTGTGGAACTTCACCCCCCTCCCCCCTTGCCATGATTGGAATACCTGCCCTGAAGTCCTGTCCAAAATCAAAAGTTTGGTAAATTGGTTGTGGGCTCATGCTGCCATGACTTTCTACGCTTCTCCCTCCTCCCTACCCCCTTTACCTTCCCTGGGGAAGGAGGGGAATACTATCAAGACTTCTCCCATTGGAAAAGTTTGACTGCAAATCCAGGAAGCCCAGGAGGAAAATTTGCTTGGCACATCCATTGTGTGCAACCAAGCAAGGGTCTTCAGACTAAGAACTGCTGCATGGCCAACCTTTTCCACAATTTTCACAATTCCTCTCCTGGAATTGAGAGTCATGTCCCAATTGCCGGCAGAAAAAATATCCTTCATGAGTTGGAAACTGTTTTGAGGACTACATTCTCCCCAACCAACCTGCTCAATTGTTAAGTTTCCAAAGAAGCCCACCCTGGGATTCCCCCTCCCTGAAAAAGATTATCACAAAGTCGGTGGCTTTCTTCCCTTATGTTGGGCTTCCATCCATTCCGCCCTAGGTAGGAGTGGAATATTTTCTCCAAAGCAATTAATCCAACACTGATTTGGATAGCTTTTACAGGTCAAGTTAAAATATTTTTAATGCCACAGGCAATTTAAGATGTTCTATTTTAAAAACTGATTTGTTGAGATGTTTTTCTGCTTTGCTATTTTATTAGATTTGGACTTGCTATTAGTATTTTAACATTTTCTTCTTTATGTTGGCCAGGAATAGGTTGCTGTGAGGTATACACATGAATTGAGGTATACACATGCCTTTATTATAAATCAATCAATCAATCAATCAATCAATCAAATCAATCTCAGCAGATGTGTTCACATAACAAACTTAACTTGATTACTGAATTAACTATTCTGTAAGTTTATAGTACCTTAATATGTAAATTCAATAAACAGGGTGGATATGCACAACATACTAAGCCATAATAAAGCA